ACCAACATCAATTGCCTCGTCGTATCTCATGTTGTTGTACTTAGCCAAGAAGCGCATCATACTGCGCACCCATCGTCAGATGAAGGTCCTGAAGATTGGCGTATGCGGCAACCTTGGCGATCGAGTTGAGCTCTGACAGATTAACCCATAGTCGTTCACCGCCCGTCGAGATGGTGGGTACGTGATTATCTGAAGAGCTGACGGCTATGCCATCGATCTTTACTACACGGGCTGGGGTTTGGGGTGCTTGTGGAGGTTGTCGATGGCTCACAGGCGTAGAGCCGCTGTCCGAGTTCTTGAATGAGTGGGGACACTACGATGTGCCGCTATTGGCGGCGTCATCTGACACAGTGGCTATTGTCGTCAAAGTGAATTGGTTCCTGTGGTTTTCGGCTTGTTCAGAGCACTAAAGCAGTCAGATCCGATTCTTGTAAGGAGGCGAGTAGGCGCAATTGATCATAGAGTAAGTGCAAGGATCTCCGCGTTCACCTCCGCGTTCACTAGTTCTTATTGATCCTCAACCTATCCCAGAAGTCCGCGATAAACCCAGCCACCTCCGGCACCCGTTCTCGTACAACACTATGGCCGGCTTGTGGGACAACAAAGATGCTATCAAAGCCAATTTCTCTCAACTCTTGCTCTGCACAAACTTCATCGTTCTCGCCCAGTACCACTAATGATGGTATACCAGACATTGCGGCCTTTTCAAACGCACCGTGATTGTTCATTGCGCCGCCATCTCTAAACGCTGCAATCACGGATGATGTATGACCACGATGTTCGTGCATCTGCCACTCCCTCACTGCCTCCGCAACAACTTCGCCTCTTCCAGCTCTTTCCCTCCAGTCACTTGGTACTACCAGCCGGCCGCCTTCGAGAAACTGCAGGATGACTCTGCTCAGTTCATCGTTATCGTTATCGACACCGTAATCAAGATGATGCTGATCCTCTTCTGGAAAAGATGAAATACAAAGAAGCCCAGCAGGCGCAATGAGCGTAAAACTGCTGACGCGATGTGGCCGTGAGTCAACATATCCGACTGTTAGTGAGCCGCCAAAGGAAAAGCCGATGAAATGTGCCGATGGCCATTGTAGATGATCGAGCAGCGCATCTAGCAGCCTATGGAATGTGGCGGCTTGATGCGGAACTATCGGCGTATCGCTTAAGCCGTGACCCCAGAGATCCACCAGCACAAAATGTGAGTGTGGAAGGATATCGTGTAGAGCGCGAGCCAGAGGTAGCAGTCCTATTGCCGGAGTCTGGATGCCATGAACGAACAGCACGTGATCTGTCGTCTGCGCGTCTATGGAGGGTACCGAAGGTGGTATCGAGTAGTATGCAGCTTTTCCATCTTGTGTTTGCAGGTATTGCGCGGGTGGAAGGATGGCGCCAAAGGTGGAAACAAAAGATGACTCTGAGGGACCTGGGATAGGCGGTTTTTGTTGGAATGCTCCGCCAGGCCGTGGGATTGCGAAGTCTGTCCTGGTAGCACACATTATGTCTCAATTTCCGGAACCTGGATCAACGGGATGTCTACCCAGGTAATGCTGCGCCTACTCTCCAGCTTTTGTAGCATCTTTGTAAGATTCAGATCCATGGATGTTAGGCGAAGGGCGCGCTTAGCGTAAGCATGACTCGCGGATACGGGGAGCTCGCCCGCGTTCTCGTTGGGTAGGTACATGTCACTTTTCCCGTCTCCTTCCGCATTTAGCTGATGAGCAATGCCCAGTGCTTATTACGCAAGTCACTGAGTTTTTGAAGAATGCAAGAGTACCTAGGTATTCCCGACCACTACGATGTGAGCCCGAACGAACTCATGCCCAGCCCCTGCAAACGATGCCACACGAGTAATCTCGGCTAGAAAGCGTACTTGCCTCAGTCCCGACAATGCCACTTCGCAGAAGGATGGAAGCACCGAGAACAGGAAAAAATCTACCATTAGGAGAGTAGCGGCAGCTGTCGCACGATAGTCTACAATACATGGCAAGCCCAGAACCACCGCGCTAACTGGGTAGTTCGGCAATGTAACATGTCAAAGAAAGCCATCGAATTCAAAAAGAATAGAAAGCATAGAGTGCGCCTTAGACTTAGACTGCGGTCTGGTCCTGGTTCGGGCTGGGTCATTGAGATTGTACTTTGGTACACGGTATGATTGCGATAGCTTTGATGTTGTTCAAGTCACGCTGGCAATGTCGCGAGGGCCCGAAGCTCGACCTTACTGGGCTCATTTTACAATTAGAATATAGAGGAAAAGTGTTACATGTTGAACAGCTCGGAGCAGCTAGAAGCATCGTACCTCGGTAGTACAGACGGTCCTGAGCGTCTTTTGGCTGTCCATGCTACCTAGGTATGCTGGCCTAGAATTAAATTGTCGATAATCAACAATGACCCATCCAGCAGGTCTTTCTGCGGCGCGACGAGAGTACAGCCGAACATTTCGTAGGTTTAGTGCTCATCATAAGCCCGCCATTTGCGCTAATGGGTGACAGAAACTTTACCGGACACCTGTCGATCACCACTAACAATGTCGTTACTGCCACGATACCCAACGAGCGACACCTATTCGATGAACCCTATATCACCTCTAATGGGCGGATTAAGGTAGACCGCAGGTTCGAGAACGTTCCTATCGTAAGCTACTTGGATCCAAAGAATTGTACGGTGCCCCGAACTGGAAGTACGTTTTTATCTAGTGTTTACCCGATAACCAATTACGACAAAGCTAGATTCACCATCACTCCGATACAGCGAAAGTCTCTCACATCAGCAGTGATGGGCATTGACAACTGTGCCGGCTTCGTGAATTCGTCTTCAGATATAGCCATCGCTTTTTGAAAGAAACAATATGCAGTGGCGCAATCACGAGTGTCATGCAGGGTGCGATGGCTGCGCTGTTGATATTTGCTAGTACTGGTTTTCTGGTGTACCTAGGTAGCGTTGCAAACGAGTGTCCGGAACACAAGCATTAAGCGATGCGGAGCTACGGGAAGTTGCTACTACTCTACTTGCCAATGAGAGGCATGCCTGGACATGGCCTGTCAGGAACGTGGAACTGGAAAGGGCGTAGGTGAGTTGAGTGGGCCAATTAAAGGTCACCTCGATATGTTATGGTTTTATACTATACAGGTTCATCTTGACGAGGTGGAATGGGTCGCCTGAAAGACAAATATTGGTGGCTCACGATAAACAGCCGCACTTTCGTCACGACATGCCATTCGTGGTGCGTTCGGCAACTTCCAAAATTAGATGCAGGCTAGCTCCCGGGTTGTTTATCCTCCGCGATGCAGGGCCTCGAGCAGAATTCTAGCAGAATAAAGTGCTGCGCATAGATACGTCGGAGAAGGTATAGCGAGCCGGCAAGCAGGTGTTTTGATGCACTTCCGATGGTAGCGCAATTCTCATGTCACTCAGCCAATCAAAATATTAGCGTACCGACTCAGCGGTGCTTGCAGCACTTGCGCAATCGAGGATTTTGCCGACATGACCGATAGCTCGGCGAACATGACCTGGTCATCAAGAACAACTGATCGCGGGCTATCCGATCGGCTTTGCGGGGATGGAGCAATGATTGCTTCCAGGGGTTGAATCCACCGGTACATGCGCCAGCTCTTTAGGGCTGACTCGAGCGACCCTGCACCGCCGTGGTGCAGCGGATCAAGCCAGCCGTTGTGGAGATCGTGTGGCATACGATTTTGTGGATACTCAAGGAAAGATCATCTCCATCGCTAATCGTTGCGATCTCACTCTAGTAGAGGAACTGAAGCAGGCCTTGGAAGATTGCTCACTGCCACTTCACCAGTGGGTAAGACTGGGCGCCGTTGTGAGACATAGAGTGGCAGCTTGATGACAGGCTTATCCCTTCCTTGGACGTAAAAAAAGCTCCACTAACTGCGTCGAACCCGTTTCGTGACGAGCCCTAATCCACCCGCCACCGGCAAATTGAAGTTGACACCAACGGCACATAGCATATGATAACTGAGTCAGTTTAGGAATTGGGTAGATTCGGCGAGGTTACATGGCCTCGCCCGTGCGCTCATGTGTTGTGGCTTTTACAGCGGACTCTGCATTCTACACCAGCACGAAAAGCAATTATTACTACCCGTGCACATCGTCGTAAACTACCTTGTTAAAATGCTCCTTCTGTTCCCGCACCTAGCGTTTACCTTTGTGCTGTTGGTCAGCGCCTGTTGCCCCACGACGAATGCTGTCTCATTAGACGATGCGGCACTGGATGCATTGAGCCAGATTCCGCCATGCGCCGTAAGATATACATGGCACAAGAGGACGATTGTTGCAGCTGACTGTTGCAAAGCTAGATTGTATCAACGAAAACCTGCCTGCCATTGGCTGTACGCTCCTCGACATAGAGTGCCAATGTAGTTCCAAAAACTCGACCAAGATTTTGCAACCGTGCTTGGAAAAGCAGTGCAACTACAACGAGACATTTGGTATGTTCGTCGCAGTGATCGGAAGCGGTATCACTGATGTGTTTGTAGCTACGCTCCGCATTCAAGCCTCTATTTGCGACAAGCCGCACGATAACCTATCGAACTCCATCCGGATAGTGGCATACGTGACCGGAATCATACCAATCATTGTGATTGTAATGCGCTTTGCTTCTCGATATGTGGGCAGCAATAAGCTCTGGTGGGACGATTGGCTCCATCTAGCAGCGGTGGTAGGTGTTCGATGGACAAATCAGTGTCATCTTACTTACGATTGTGCAGGTCCTGGTCATCCCTATGACTGTTGCCCTATTATTGAACCTCAAAGCGGGACTCGGCCATCATATATGGGACCTGACATATCCACGTGTCGTCGCAATCGGCAAATGGAGTACGCTTCCGTCTGCTAGCTTTGATACATAAGACTGACTATAGACAGCCTATATTGCTACCATCTTGTGGGGTGTCGAATTGCTTCTCATAAAGTACAGCATTCTCTGCTTGTATATTCGCATTTTTCCGAACGTCTGGTTGAAGCGCGCGGTCTTCGCCTTCATGGCTTTTACGGCTCTGTTCACCCTGCCCCTACTTTTCCTGGCTGCGTTCCAATGTATTCCAGTCCGCGCTATCTGGAATCTTCAAGAGCAAGAAACTGCGAAATGCATCGACTATATCGCCGTCTTGAGACTGACGGTTGTATACGAGATCATCGCTGAGACTATCCTATTCAGTCTTCCTATCCCGATTGTATGGAAGCTGCAGATGAAGACTGCAAAGAAGATACAGCTACTCATCTTCTTTAGCCTTGGTATCTGGTACGTCTTGTCTTGGTCTTGTTCGATTTGTGTAATCTAACCCTTCCGAAGTGTTATTATCATGTCCATCGTACGCTTGCCATTTTTACCAGGGGTTGTCGACACTATCGACCCAACCTACACAGTGACTGGCACATCGATTACTGGATTCACCTCCAGTGGAGTTGCACATATATGCGCTGCCGTCCCCACAATCAGAAACCTGATACGATACTGCCAGAACGGGTTCAAGATGCCCACGAATATTCCTTCAAGCTACACCACGGACCGCAGCACTTACAACTCTACGAGCAAACGAAGCTACAAGTCATTGCAGGACAAAAATAATGCCTCTAATACAGCACAACAGCGAGGCAAAGCCTCATCTCGCGATACAAAGGATCCATATCGCCTATCCGCAATCGTGGATGCCGAGAATGATGGCACAGTCGTAGAGCTATGTGCGATAAACTCGCCAACTCACGCGAACGCATTGAATGATGGGGAACAGGATGGACAAGAAGGGGAGATTCGATGGACTCAGCGCGTGGAAGAACAATTTCCTACTATTGTTGGCGAATCTCCGTCGCCGGGGTTGGACGACTCAGCGTCTCAAAAGTCCATACTTCGTCAACACCCCTATTCATGAAAGCAAAAGAGGAAAGATCAGTGGCATGTATGCCGCCCAAGAAAGCTATTTCGCCATTACATGTACCTGCTTTGAAGTTGCAACAACAGAGGCCGCTTTAGTGATGCATGCAGAGTTTTTGGACATGGTCGCACTACTTCCTTTTGCTTTTTGAAGCTTACAACAGATATAGAGAGACCATATCTTTGAGTTCACCCGCTTTTCCTGATATTCATTCGGGTAGCGCAGACTAGCGGACGCGTGCATGAGCTTGCGCCACACGTACAGTCGGCTTGACGCGACCATGGGGCGTATGCTCAAGAGTGTAGTCAGGTACACCGGGTAGGTATGTAAGTGGCTGTCGCAAGCTTTCCAAACAGCGGTCTAGGCGAGCAATTCAGCCAGGCGTCTGCAATGCTTGTAGGGGTTTGAAGTAACATACTGGCATGTGATGCGAGCTCGTGCCCGTCTTGCTCTTTGTGGTCGTAGTACACATCTGGGTACAGGTGCTGCTTGATACGCTTCTGTTGAATGCCCAGGTGGTAAGCAGTTCCCAGTGGCAGTCTACAATCAGTCATTACGTGTTTCCGATTGGCCAGTGCCCAACGGCCCCAACCGACCTTAGCCAATGCAGCAGACGACACCTGAAGTTCGCGCTTGCGCCTAAGAATTAGAAGAAAAGCGGAAGCTAAAAGCTAAAATTACAGATATCCTAACAAAGAGTATTTCAGAGTTCGAAACGAGAGTTTACGAGTGCTCTTAGTAGTGGAGTTACACCGAGTTAGCCTCGGCTCATCGCCTACATTTGACTTGGTGGCCGATGGAAACCACGACAACAATTTCTGCTTGCGCAATGTGTTCACTTATACCTCGAAGTGTCACCAACTAAATCCTGAGCGGCAGGAGCAAGAATGGCTAACCAACGTATGGAGCTTACTACGCCAGCAGTGACATGGCAACCTCGCACGATTTACCTTACTGCATACAACGTCCTCTTCGCATCGCTATGGGCATCGGTCTTCGTTCGAGCCGTGTCTAATGCTCGAAATAGCAAATTCGAGCTCTTTGATGCAACAGAGCCATATGCGCGATGGATACAGACCGCTTCGTTGATAGAAGTCTTACATGCGGCGTTTGGTATGTTCATCATTCCTACCTCTTCTTGTGCATCTCATTGAGAACGATACCAGGTGTCATCAAATCTCCAGTCAGCACAACCGCACTTCAAGTTGTTACACGCGTCATACAGGTTTGGATGGTGTGGTACAGCTTTCCGCAAAGCACGGCAACTTCGCATGCTTATCTTGCCTTGCTCCTTGCTTGGTCGGTCGCAGACACCGTCCGGTACCTGTATCTTGCGGTCAACATGCACGGGAAAGCTCCGAAAGGACTGGTATGGCTCCGGTATGTTCTCAAGCCACCTCATCCGCTACTTGGTCCTACCTAGGTAGCTGACTGTCCCAGGTATACCATGTTCTACCCACTCTATCCGGTCGGTATCGGGGCTGAGTGGTGGTTACTGTACCGGTCTATTGCTCCTGGAGCGAAGGTCAACCCAGTCATACCGCCCGTCTTTTACTTCTGCTTGACGCTCTACATTCCAGGTATGTACTCTTTTATGGCGGCCTGTTTATACTCGAAATTCACATCTTATTAGGTTCCTACACCATGTACACCTACATGATCAAGCAAAGAAGGAAGACACTGGGTTCCAGACACAAGGTCCAGTAAGCGCATGGATTTGGTTGCGTTCCAGCACGAACGTAGTCATATGCAAAGGATGGGCAGTCTTTTTGAACAGCTCTGTCTCCGTAACGGCTAATGTCTGGAATGTGGGAAGACACGCGCAATGGCATTAGCCCGGGACAGGCCAAGGCTGCAATGAAGGCTAGCGTATGTGATATGACAGGGCCGACACCAAGGACGAAGACGAAGAGCATGATAGCATTGCAAGAGGTTAGCATGACCGACGGTAGTAATGTTTAGAAAGAAGAATATATAACCATAAGAACCGGACCCACATATGGCAGACAGGTTAGATGTAGGAAACCTTGACGCCCATTCCTACGGTACGTCTCACCTTGTCCCACGCACTCCGTATGATGCGTAGTATCCTCTCTCTAAGATGGCGCCTGCCAAACGCCAAGCCAAACGCCAATAAGAAAAGTAAAGTACGGAAGAAAGCCATGGGATTGGAAGTCATGTGATGGGCCGTATCCGAAATCATGGTGTGTATGTTTGCGAACATGGTAGACGCGCGGTTGTAGAGGCCGGGTGGTGGTGTGGTTGGTTTCTTGGCGGGCGTTCGGGAGGTGCGGGAAGACTGCGATGGCGTGGGTTGTGGCGTGGGTTGGGGTTTGCTGAAGCGCTCGTCTGAGCCGCGGGGTTGGCGTCTGTTTTGTTCCTCGCGTATGCGGCGTTCGTCTTGTGCGCGCGACTGCTCGAGGCGCTTGGCCTCGGTTTCTCTGCGGCGCTCCTCCATTTGCTCTTGTTGTTGCTGGCGTAGCTTCTCTTCGCGGGCTTGCGTGTCTTCCTTTTCTTCCTTGAGAGAGTGCAGTGCTAGCAGGAAGGCTTCCTTGCGCTCTTGGTCCAGCACCTCGGACATGTCGATGAAGTCGCGGGCATAGTCCCATTCGTCGTTCCGTGGCAGGACGTGCAGGGTGTAGAGCTCGAGGAGTTTGATGCGCTTTTCCAGGTCGCGTGGGGTGTCGGTGCCGGTGTGTTGCCTACGATGGCCTGGCCGTTTGTCGAGGTATGCCGGAGAAGACATGTGCGAGGACACGTCGAGGGCTGGGTTGGCGGTGGCGGAGAGGTACGTCTCGAGCTTCTGCTGATTGAGCCGCTGCGAGGGCGCATGGGTAAGGAGGAGGGTGGCTCTATGTAGCATCAATACGCAGTCGCTCACCAGGTCAGGGGATTGCTTACAGGTTGACGACAACGTCGGCGTCGACGTCGCCCTCGACACCCGCATAGCCGTCGCGGACCACGTGGTCCCAGATGCTGCCGTCGCGACACTGCGAGACCAATTGCTTCCATCGCGTGCTGCCAAAGGCGTGCTTGCCCTCTTCGGCGCCCAGCTCGACCACGGCGTTGAGGAAGGTGAGGTAGAAGCTCCACACCTTGACCCGGGTGCCGCGCGACGCCGTCGCGACGGGCGCGTGGCCCACGACGTCGGCCGCGTCGATTGGCGGCGGGGTGATGATGGGCTCGATAGTCGACAGCGCCTCGGGGAGTCGTCGCGTCAGGAACAGCTGGGCAGCCTGTCGGTAGGCTTTGGCGATCTGCGACGACTGTTGCCGTGACGTCGAGAGCGACGAGATGGATGATGAGAGGTAGCGCGACCCGCTGACGTCGTCGTAGAGCGTCGCCATGTTTCGATGTCCTCTGAGCTTCACGAGCGCATAGCGGTGGGTGACGGAGCGCCCGGTGTCAACATTTCGAACCTCGGCTGACCTCACCTCACCCGACCCGCCTTGGCGCGTCACCTGCCTCCGACACCCCGAGCTATCTGCGTTTGCATCAGTCTGCAGACGTTGTCAAGGTATTGACACGCGCTTGCCTGCGTCAAGCTCAGAGGCAGGAGCTAGACACGCGCTTTGTCGCTTGATCCATCGCTGCTAACCTCCACGACCATCTCTACGCGTCTCGCCATCATGGACGTCGACGCAGCTACCTTCCCGCACCACTTGCTGGCCATCTTCATCCACATATCCGAGGCCGACTTTGTGTCTTTTGATCTCGAACTGTCCGGCATCCCATCGCGCATCCAAGACAAACCTGCACATGGCCCGGCCCGCTTCACCATGGAGGAGCGCTATGCCGAGACCAAAATGGGCGCCGACCGCTATCAGATCCTACAGGTAGGTATCACTTGCGCGCGCTTCGACTACCTTGCCAACACCTATGTCTTGAGGCCTTACAACATCAACATCAGCCCGCTTTTCGACGAGCGCATCGACTTTGAGCGTGAGATCAAGTTTCAGAGCGGCGCGTGTACCTTCCTCCTCAACAATGGTTTCGACCTGGGGGCTCCATTTGCCACAGGCGTACAGTACTTATCCCGCGACGAAGCAGAGCGAGCAAAGCGCATGGCCTGGGATCGACTCGAGAACAAGAATCCCATACCCGATCTGCAACTTAACTCGGCAGATGTCGAGTCGCTCGACTTTATGCGCAGGGTGAGGCAAGCCATTGAGAAATGGAAATCTAGCACTTCGTCGTCCTTGGACATTACAACTCATACAGGGCTTTCCACTCCGCCCGTAATACCCGTCATCACGCGATTCGAGAAGCGTCTCGTGCATCAGCTCGTGCGCGCAGAGTTCCCAGAGTTGGTGTCCATAGGACGCGGAGAGTGTATTCGTATCCTTCATCTAGACCCTGTGCGTGAGGCCGACAACATGCGCAGGATCAAGAACCGCGTCAAAGAATCCATTGTCCGACAAACCGGCTTCCGCTGGATCTTTGAGGCTTTAGTCAAGGGCGGCGACATCAATCGCGCGGATCCACTCTATGTCGCACGCACTACTGGCACCATTGTCACTGCCGACGCACATGATATAAGGGATCGCTACGACAGAGCCATAGAGAGACTTAAAATTAAGCAGCCCGTGCTAGTCGGCCACAACATGTTCACTGACATTGTCTACTTTTATCGTACTTTTGTCGGCCAACTGCCTGCACGTGCAACATCTCCTCATCTGGTCAACGCGCTAACTCTGTACAGGATACCCTGCAAGGCTTCCAGGATGCCATCCATGAGCTGTTCCCCAACATCATCGACACTAAATATCTAGCGACTCATGCTGAAGGCGACCTCAACGCCTCCCCTACACTACAGGATATTGCCGAGAATTCAAGTCTGCAGCCGTTGCCCCACATCGTCACGCATGCCGACCATCCAAAGTACCAAGAGACTGAGGCCTTCCACGAAGCAGGCTATGACAGCCTCCTTACTGCCACCATCATGATCAGGCTCGCCGCCAAGCTTGGTGCGGAGCGAGGAGAACAGGTTCCGGCGCCATTGCCCAGCCGTTCCAGTAACAAAGCGAAAGGAGTGTTGGCGGAAGATGTTCAGGATTTTCTAAAAGATGGACGCGAGAAGGTCCACCTGCCCGTTCCCCTGCCCCCAGTGGAGCAGCCTCAACCCAAGAAAACAAAGAAACAAAGGGCCAAGGCTAGGAAAAAGGAGGCAAGACAACAACAATTCGAAACTAAGAACCTATTCGACACGCTCAAAGCTCTGAGCCCTGACGCCGAATCTTCCTCGACTGAAGATGACGGAGAGGTTAAGCTTCCTGAAGATAGTGAACTTGCAAAATGGGACGAACAGGTTCAAGACGTCGCCGGGTCATGGGAAAATGACGTCTACGTCCAAGATAAGACGGGATGGGTGCCGTTGGAGCAGGTTAAGCGACAGCCAATGGAGCTCATCCCAGCCTTTGATTCAGAGTTTTGGAACGAGTTTGGCAATACATTGCGTGTGTTTGGCACTCAAGAAGCTGTCCTGAAGATTGCAGAGTGGGAGGTTTGAAAGCCGCGCAAGCTTGACTCCAAGCTAATAAAAGGTGGAGTTGGCACCAAGGTTCTCATGGTTGTGTACAATCTTGAAGAGCTAAAGTTACGCCGTGAGCGGTAGTAGAAAGACAAACATGTGTTGTCTCTAATGCGCAACTCGTCTCTGTGCCCATCATGGTGATTCATCATAAGAGACAGTGGTTTGAGTGCGTAACAAAGAGTTCTTCAATGTCTTCCCCTCTTCTTGTAAAGCATGGACACACAGGTTCGGCATTTGCCGCTCATTTCAACGCCCGCCCATGTCATCACCCATATACAGTCTGCTTCTACCGTACACGAACCCGACTTTCGGTCCAAAAGATCGCACCTCCTCAGATATACACGATTTGCCTTTTTCAATCGATGCATATGACTCTGACAGACTACTCATACACCATCACTTCGAACGGCCAGCTCCAACAGATCTCTGCAGCGGTCTCGTGTGCTCTTCAGGACGTCATAGCGTATTCGAAAGATTCCGCAGGGAGAATGCTCGACTTGACATGTATGAGTCCGCAGTTTGACGGAAAATGGTCTCGGGATCGGAAGAGGTAAAGGATATAGGCAGGTTGTCAGGTAATATCAAATTGAAGGGTCGACGTCTGGTGCTGTTGACACAAAGTTTTCAACAACGTGCAGGACCAGCGCCTATGGCTTCTACTGGCTCGATGTTCACCTCCACCGCTTTTGTCTGTGTCGTACTCGATGGGACGATCCCTCGGTTGTGCTCTTCGTCGGAGCCGGGCACATCATTTTCCTGGGGTAATGGCTCAAAGTGCGCATTGTTGACTCTTTTCCTATCGATGCGACGTCTCCAAGGCTTGTACAGCAGAACACTGAGACCACCGAAAACGATAAATGTACCGCATATAGCTCCGCCTGCATCCTGTTAGTGTCGAATTCTTTTAGTGCGATCAATCAGCTCACCAACTATATCCCAAGCATCGCCCAGCTTTTCGACGCCTTCCCAAAACTTGCCATGCGGCTCGGCAACGTTGAGCACCAGATTGAGGAACTGCACTGTCCCGATGATGGTCGCGACAACCACGGTAATGACTGTTAGCACAATGCTGTAGTAGCAAATGGCGATCGGGTCGCGCGCAAGTTGCGTGCTTGTGTACAGACTCATCATCAGCGCACCATCGGTGGTATCGAGAAGGCACATGCCTGCTGTGAAGAGCAGTGGAAAGATCAAGATCAGCCAAATTGATGTCCCCTTCGTGGCTTGAATCGAACTTATTCCTAGGATAGCGATCTCGGAAGAAGTGTCGAAACCTAGCCCGAAAAGTACACCCAGAGGATACATCTTCCAGGGTCGGTCGACCAACTTGAAGAGCTTCTGCAATATCGGGAAGAGGCAACCGCCGCCCTGTATCTTGAACTGTTCGTGCTCACTACCAGGGTCGCTCGAAACCATCTTTCGCATCTGTACTATGAGCTTGTACAGAATGTAGATGTTCATAAGACCAAGGAGCAACAAGAAAGCAGCAGAGACTGAAGTGCCGATAATGCCACCGACACGCTCGAAATTGTCAAACTTGTCTGACACCGCCGCTGCAGTTCCTGCAACGATGAGCGACGTGATGATGACGATGGTAGAATGTCCGAGACTGAAGAACATTCCAACCGTCACTGGCCGCTGGCCTGCAGCAACCAGACGGCGAGTCATGAGATCGATCGCCGAAATATGATCTGCATCCAGGGCATGGCGCAAGCCCAGAGTGTATGAGAGGATTGCTGTCGAGATCAGTGGCGTATGCCAGTGCTGCCGACGTTTAGCATATGAGATCAACGCCATTCGGTTTCACCTTCTTTACTTACTAAGACTATACCAACTGCCGCCCAAACAAGGAGGTTCACAGCGACGAGGGTGATGATGATTGCGATTGCCGCGAATGGAAGCCTTCTGAGGTAGGGTGTCTGAGCATGATATGCAGATGCTTTGTTGGATGCATTGCGAAAGAATGATAATTTGCTCCCTGCATCGCTACCCACTACAGATGAGGGGCGGGAGGTTGCCATTCTACCAGATCTCGTTCTCGCGCGTAACAAAGGACACGAGAAATTGCGATCGAAGTGTGATAGAAAGAGAAAGAAGTTTAGAGAGGTACCTATAATGAAGCTTGGAAGGTAAGTATCGCAGAGCACCGTGGGATGCAAATGACGCCAAGTGGGGCTAGCAGCTGTTATCGTGACCCTCTGGCGGGGTAATTAGCATCATGGTGTACTAATAGTCGCGAATCCACAAAACCTCGGCATCAAGTTTTGACGATCAGAAGCTCGTATTGTATATGGTGAACTATCGTCGACTCTCAGATTTTGCGGAAGCATAGACATGCGTTGGTGCCACCAAAACCGAAGCTATTCGAGAGAGCCACATTGACTCTGTGCTGTTGAGCAGCATTGGCGACGTAGTTGCAGTTAAAGTCAACCGCCGGATCTCCTGGATTCTCAAGATTGAGAGTCGGAGGTAGGATGTTCTGGTCATCGTCAACATGTAGGCTATGGCAAGAACCACATCTGACTTACGTGATGCATCCCAAGAATCGTGAAAATTGTCTCCACGCTCCCTGCAGCACCCAGAAGATGTCCGACCGCACCTTTTGTACTGCTCACATTGATTTCACAAGCTCTATCTTTTCCGTCTTCGCCAAGCAGAAGCTCTTTGATGGCTCGGTTCTCCGCAGCATCACCTAGTGGGGTGCTCGTCGCATGGGCGTTCACGTAGTCGACAGCGCTTGGCTTGAGGCCGGCATGTCGTAGTGCATGCTTCATTGCGAGACGTGGACCTTGGCCATCTTCGCGAGGTGCCGTCATGTGGTGTGCGTCGCTGGACAGTCCGTAGCCGGCGACTTCAGCATAGATGTTCGCACCTCGCTTCCTTGCGTGCTCGAGTTCCTGCACCTGATTAGATACGACAGGTACGGCAACCTTGCACACAGCGATCGCGTACCTCGAGAACCACAACTCCGGCTCCTTCTCCAATGACAAAACCATCCCGTTCTCGGTCGAATGGTCGACTGGACTCCATGGGCCGTTCATTGAACTCAGTAGCCAGGCTTCTAGCCCTAGCAAAGCCTGATATGGCGAGAGGATGAATGCATGATTCAGCTCCGCCGGCTATCATAACATCTGCATCTCCGAACTGAATCAAACGTGACGCGTCTCCGATGCTATGTGCTCCGGTCGTACATGCTGTTGTTGCCGCATGGTTCGGTCCCTATCATGGCTCAGCATCAACAAACATAGCCAGAATGTTATAGCCACCTTGAACCCATAACGCATCGATATGTGACCTGCGGCTAGGTTGATCAACAGTCGTGGAACAAAGAGCGGGGACACCTTTCGGTAACCCTAGCACAATCAGTTGACAGTTACGATCGATAGCTGGGACAACCCACGCCTTTCTCATAAGCAATTGTGGTATCATACACATCGTCTAAACTGCCGATACCAGATCCCATGTACACTCCCTATCTCGGCGTGAGTAAGATGCAGGCTGGGCGGATGCTGAGCCTCCGTACTGTGACTTCAAGATCGGCCTCTTCCTTCGAAAACCATCCCGCATCATTAAGAGCTTCATCGGACGCCACCATGGCGTACTGTGCGAAGCGTGCCATACGGCGTTCATCCTGTAATAAAATTAACATTGTCAAAGACAAGAACGTTGGGTGGCGGTACATACGCTGTGGCTTAGATGCTCCTTTGTATTCCATTTACCATCGGTTTTGCTACCCTGAGGAACCAGACCAGCGACTTGGCTCGGTAGCAGCGCGAATTCAGGGCTTCTGTCTTTGATGGAAACGATGCCACACTGGCTATCGATCAGACGCTTCCAGGTTCGTCGAACACCTATCCGCGTTAGGAGAAATGGGATCAAAGCAAGGTGAACGTCGCGTCACCTAGTCCAAGAGGGGTTACAAGCCCTAAGCCTGTTACTACTACCCGTCGCATCGCATGTCAGTAATAATGGTTGATGTTGGATACGGACGCGTTTGGGTGGGCAGAGAGAGCTAGTGTTACGCGCAAGCCACGTGTGGCGTCCGTTAGCGAGAGGTGCGTGCTACATAGCCGTGATTGCGTCCGTCCTTATTGTTTTAGATGCCTTCATTTCGCTCCCATCGCAGGAATTCTATATAGTGCACGCTGAGCTTGGTTTCCATTTGCAGCCGTTGACTGGTCAGAGTACGCTTTGCGCCAGTCGGTTGATGCATTATTTCGACGATGACAAGTCGTATTTGGGCCAACAATATATTTCTGTGTACTATAAAAGCCAGCCAACAACCTGCAATTTGCTCATGACCATCGCAATCAAAGTCTGGAGAGCTCAACTTTTCTGTTGTTGTCCAATCATCTAACTTGAAACACCTATGGGCAGCCGGTGACTCTGTCTCTTGATTGCACTCGAGGGTTTGGCGACAGTCTTCGTGTTGTTGCACAACCTCATGGGAGAAATCGTATGGTAACGCCATTTTGCGCAAAGCAGTGATTACCTAGGTATGTCGCCAAGTAGGTGAAAACAATCCTGGACAATGGCGGACAGGCAACACTCGGAGGGAAGCCTCGAGTCTTGTCTCGGGCATTGCGGGGAACTTTGGAAGCAGTGTCAAGAGTATCAAGGCTTGGGCAGACATTTCAAAAAACCAATCTAGGCAAAGGGTGATGGTTGATGTTTGACAGATCGAGGGCATCATACGGGCCAGGCAAATCCCAAAAGCACGTCATTGTCTTGGCGAGCCTCGTCTAGCGGGCGTCTGCAAGCAGCACTCGACACCAATGTGATGACTCCCCACAATGTGATCGATACGCCAGACTTCCTGCAACGCAGGCTCCACTCTTCCCTACGACTACACGTACGACATCGCGACTATGGATACCTATGGATCTGCCAATGGATCGACGAAGTACAGTAGGTGCATTTTGAACTTTTCTTGCCGTCGCAAGCATTTCGGACAGGCAAAGCAAGAACGGCTGGTTGCTGTAATTTGCTATGCAGAATGTTGAAGAATCCAGACGGGTTTTCTTGACGCGTTCTGGCGGTGCATGATCCAAACTGACATGCGGTAGGGACGGTGTCGTCGCAGCCCGAGAATCCGTTCGCCAAACTTATCCCCGACCAGACCTTTGCCGTCATCCCCCGGGTCACGCTCGAATCCGGCGTCGTGTTACACAATGTCAGCGTTGCCTACAAGACCTACGGTACCCTCGCGCCCAGCGGAGACAATGCCATGGTAATATGCCATGCGCTCACCGGAAGCGCTGACGTGGGAGACTGGTGGGGACCGTTGCTAGGTGGGCCTGGGAAGGCTTTTGATATATCGCGCTTCTTCGTCGTCTGTATGAACAGTCTCGGCAGTCCTTACGGGAGCGCAAGCCCGGTCACAGCAAAAGATGGCGACGTCTCGCTGGGTCCGTACGGACCCGAGTTTCCACTGACAACTGTAAGAGACGATGTCAAGTTAGTCGAGCGAAATCTGGAATTCGTACTTGGAAGCCGCTAACGGGCACAGTGTCTTCAAGCTCCTCTTGGATGATCTTGGTGTGAAGCAGGTCGCTGCCGTCATTGGAGGATCCATGGGCGGTATGCTTGTCCTCGAGTTTGCCTACTTCGGAAAAGACTACGTCAAGACCATCATCCCGATAGCCACTTCCGCTCGCTACAGCGCATGGGGCATCAGCTGGGGCGAAGCGCAACGGCAAAGTATCTACAGTGACCCCAAATACGACGACGGCTATTACGCATATGAAGATCCTCCATCGACCGGGCTTGGAGCCGCACGCATGTCTGCTTTACTGACTTACAGAAGCCGCGACTCGTTCGAATCAAGATTTGGGCGCAATACACCAGACCTATCCAAGAAACAGAGCATCAATACTGTACCGCGACCGACCACTCCGTCCAATCCCTCTCATGAACACTGGGCGATACACAACCACGGTCACAAGAACGCTGGCTCGCCGCGTCTGATGTCACGGACAAACAGCAGTACCGCCATACCCGGTTCTGCAGCCGCACATGCCGACCTCGAGTTCCATGATGCATCGGACCCAGCCACTCCGAACCTCGAAAGGTCAAGCTCGACAAGTAGCAACAGTCAATTCCCGCGCTCATCGAAGCCTCTTGCGCCGCACTACTTCTCAGCACAGTCCTACCTCCGTTACCAGGCCGACAAGTTCATCAAGCGTTTTGACGCTAATTGTTACATCGCAATCACAAGAAAGCTGGATACGCATGATGTATCCCGCTACCGCTATCCTGAAGGCGAGACACCCGACACACTAGATCCAGTATCGGCCCTTCATTATGCGCTTTCCTTGATTGAACAGCCTACACTGGTACTAGGTATACAGTCGGACGGTCTCTTCACATTTGCCGAACAGAAGGAATTGGCCGCTTGTATTCCCAAGGCTACACTTAAGACGATCGATTCTCCAGATGGTCACGACGCCTTCCTCCTCGAATTTGAGCAGGTAAACAAACACTTACTAGGCTTCCTCGAGACCGAGCTTCCAGAGATCATGAATAGAACACCAAACGTAGAGACCGCAACAAGCGATTCTGGTATGGTCGCCACCAAAAGCAGCACGTTTGGTGAGGCTGAGGTCGACGATATCACGGCATGGTAAGAAGAATGGGAGCATTGAATTTGGCACGGCGTTCTGGGTTCAGAGGATAACTGCACTGGTCGGCGTACAAATTTCGGTATAGGCTTGAAAGAAGGCTGCATGAGTATAATGCGCCATGGGGCGTCCCGAGCTGAGGTTCAACCCCTCGTAGACACCAAGTATTGCAGCATGAGAGCAGCAACAACAACAACCCAATAATTCTCTCCTCTTAGTTTTCCCGAATCTTTCAACTCTGTCACAAACGGCTCGCTCATGTCCAATTTACCTCATGTCTGTACCCCGCCTTGCACGCTAATCTTTAGTCGTCTCCGCACGTCCACCGTCTCGCGTGCCCCTCATCCTCGGTTCGTATACACAGCGGATACTCCCCGCAGACCTTGACACGAACGTGCTTTATCCGATCTGGTCTCCCGAGTTGCAGTGCCGTAGGATCACGAGGGCTTCGGTGACGATGCACGGTAGATTATGAACGCAACGTCTTGACAATGGTAGAGGGATTATCTGTGTACAGAATTCGGACTGCTCATGCTTTTGCGACCCCGATCAGTAACCTTCGACTATCCGTACAAAGGCCAAGAACAAGGTCCGTTAAGTTGGACCCCCGCACATAGGACAGTGAGTGCCGGGTGTCCGTGTTGATACATATATAGGTGTATTCGGAGTGACTCAATGTTCCTCAATCAGCCATAGTCCCTTTCTTCACATCGTCCCGAATACAGTAACATTATGCAACTCCCCAAAACACAAAAGGCGGCCATCAAACAAGGCACCGGCGACAACACTACGATTACCATCAAGGAGATTCCTGTCCCGGAACCAGCTCCTGACCAGATTCTCGTCAAGATAAACTACAGTGGCCTCTGTGCCTCGGACAAATCCCTGCTCCATGATGAGTGGGACTTCAAGATGGCCGAATGTACCGAAGGCATCGCAGGCCATGAGGGCGCTGGCATCGTTGTAGCCGTTGGCGCAAACGTGCAGGATCTCTGGCAGATTGGTAATCGCGCTGGTATCAAATGGATTGCGTCTGTATGCCGACGATGCGAGTTTTGTACTAATGGCCAAGACGAATGTCATTGCCCGAAGCAGCTGAACAGTGGATTTACTGTTGCGGGAACGTTCCAGGAGTATTGCTTAACGGATGCGAGATATGCGACGAGATTGCCTGATGGTGTCAAAGACGAGGAGGCGGGCCCGATCATGTGTGGTGGTGTTACAGCATATGTGGCTTGCAAGAGAAGTAAGGTACTCCCCGGGCAGTGGATTGTCATTCCGGGAGCGGGTGGTGGTGAGTATGCGCATAGCGCTTTTGTGTCCTCTTCCGTCTTTCGCAGCGACGAAATTGAAACCGTCATATAAGATGATACTGATACCACCCAGGCCTTGGTCATTTTGGTGTTCAGTACGCTCGCCATATGGGTATGCGCGTTATTGCCATCGACGGCGGCGCCGCCAAACGCGATCTCTGCCTCTCTCTTGGTGCCGAGAGGTTTATCGACTTCACTACATGCTCGGACATCACTTCCGAGATCATGAAGATTACTACTTATGGCGCCCATGGCGTGATCGTTTTCGCAGCAACGAAAGCAGGCTACGAACAAGCGCCACACTTGCTGAGACCCAACGGCACGATGGTGTGTGTAGGTCTACCGAAAGATTCGTCGATCATTGCGGGAGCTAGTCCAATCCTGATGTGCCTCAAGAGATTGAATGTTGTGGGAAGCGTGACAGGAACGCTAAAGGACGTTGAGGAGGTGAGTGTTATTCTCGCGAGCTAGGTAGGGAGACTGCTACTAACTGGGCGGGTAGGCACTCGACTTTACTTCGCGAGGACTCGTACATCCGATTCTGACTCATGGTGGTTTGGAGGATATTGATCGGTTCTGTGCAGACATGAATGCAGGGAAGCTTGCTGGACGGGCTGTCATCAAGATCGCTGCGTAGATGGGTACAGTCTATGATGCTCTACATCAAGTAGAGATTTGATACCGCCATCCTACACTCAAGATAGATCTGCGCCAAACTCTACGTGAAGCAATCCAGAGGCGAATCATTTTTCTGGTTTGCTTGATTCCTTCCTTCGTTATGATGCGACTGAATGCGTGGCTAAAGGGTTTTCGAGTGGCTGTGTTTTACGATGGGTTCATCTTAACTTGCCTCGTGCACATACTAGTCAGCGCTCTTTGGAGCACTACCTCGGGGACAGACCTACTCACATGTAGCTCTCGATCTGCTATTGAGGAATAGAGTGACCAGCCACGGAGGCATCAGCGAAATTTAAGGTGATCGATGATGACGGTACGGAGAGGATCATAGGATTCAGATCAAGACCGGGATACTAGACGAAGCTGTCGAGAAAAAGGTGCCGGTTGCCACGAATATGCCGGATATGAGTGTGAGTCACGCATAGAGTGCATCACTGCAGATATCCGCTATGCGATGTATGATTGTCCTAGGGCTAATTTGAGATAGCGATAGTCATCTGGCTCTTCACCCTACGCAAACCGTACCACGGAAATTGTTTATTGAAAATGTCTTTGGCGTGGCACAAGCAGGATTGCCTCATAAGTGACGCGAAAGTGACGGAAAGATGACGTAGAAAGACAAAAAGACGATGTTCGAAAAGGAGCGGCAAAGAAGAAAGGAAGATAGTCGAGCAGGAAGAAGGTGTTGGCGATATCTGGAATCGGACAGGAGGGTGCGACCTGCGTGTGTCGGCCAGTATAGGCCACAAGGCGAGCCTGTCCGAGGTACGGAGGACAAAGATAAGCGGCGAACGCGTGCCGCCTGCGCCTGCGCCAGCGTACCGCGAACCCGAGCCGTGGGATTGCAGTTAGCTGATGACCGAGACGCCAGACGGAAAGACATCCAAATTCGCACACATGAAGACTTGTTGTGACTGCGCATGGCGAACTAGCCTTTCGCATGCCTAGGGCAAGAAGCCGTCATGTGTCGAAGCCAAGATAAAGTCGACCTAGGGCGAGGCCTGACTCAGCTAAACTGGCGTGGTTGGCGTTAGCAGGGAGAGGGGCGTGTCATGTTGGTGGAGCCGAGACTGTCAGCGTGGTGTGGGAGCAGCGAGAAAAGCGATGGTGTGGTGATTCTAGGCTTGGTGAGAGGTGCGCGAGATTCTCAGCTGAGGCAAAAAGCACGCAGGGTGGAGTGGAGTGCGGCGGACGACGGATCGCTTGCAGAGGTGCAGGACTCGACTTGGCTCAAAGGGGCGGGTGGGCCTGTTTCTAGGTCCTGTTAGCGGGATCTGGAACGTGTTCAGGCCTTGACGAGTTATCCTTGCATGGCACCAACAACTGCAGGGCAGCTGATAGCAACAAGTGATGCTGCTTAACTCTATCATGCCACCGCGCCGCCGACACCCGCTAGGGTTGCTTCGCCGTGAAGTCATCTTCTCCGTCAGCTTCTCCGTCAGCTTCCATTCGCACTGCCCTGCGCTGTCAATCTCTCCGTCAGACTTGTGTCGCATCTTCCTCGGTCACATACGACGCGCCCCGTCCGCATTTCATTCCACAGCAGGACCACCCCTGTCGTAGCTTTTAGATATACCCAACGCGCCTGCCACCGCTTCTTTCGCTTCTGCAGCTCCTGTGGCGTCATCTCTACAGCGACATTGGACTTTGTCCGTTTGCTCGACTTACTTTTTCCTGACGAGAACAAATCACTGTGACACATCGAGTCCGGGGATTCCATCGTCAAACCACTACCGCAAGCCACCCGTTCATGGCGCCTTCTCCTCGATAGGTCCATGAGCTGCTTTGGCACCACATGCCGCTTCCAAATACAGCGCCGATACCTACACTAAAGTCCTGCCCTGACCTTGGCCAAGAGCCCTGCAGCCTTGCAGCCATCTACTCTTCAACGCGCCGCCCTGCTCCATAGACTCGACCACTGAAGCCATGGCTCAAACACGTGCACCACGGCCTCGTTCGACAAACCCTACGCCGGCCACGTCAACATATGGATACCACAACACCTACCACACCCACGCCCAACTGCCCATCGGGTCGCCGCCCTCGTATGCTCGCGCAACCGATCCTCAGACCCGTCGCGTCCTAGACGAAAGGACAAGGAGAGAGAAAGAGGCGGTGCGCAGTATCCAGTCACCCCCGCCCTACACCTGCACCGTCGAGATGGAAGGACTTGTTGGCATCAAGCAGGAACTATCCTCGCCATTCCAGGTCTCGGGACATCGAGAATGGCATGATGTCTACGCCATACTTCGAGGCACGCAGTTGAGCATACACCGCATAAAGTACCCGGGTCTCCTCAGCAAGAACAAAGAGCCATGCCCAGGTCGCTTGTTGCGAACCTATTCCTTGCAGCATGCTGAAGTTGGCGTGGCATCTGATTTCAAGAAGACATTGCTGATACCAAAGTCTCCTTTCGCCCACCTGGTGCCCGCTGTCGCTCGGCCTAAATTGTACGAAACGGATCCACAGCTTTTCGAGCCTGTACGGGAACATGCCATCCGCCTGCGCCTGGAGTTTGAGCAGTTCTTGCTCTGTCCGTCGACTGAGCAAGGCATGCTCGACTGGGTGGAATTGTTTTGCGCCGCTATCGACATCAGTGCACCCCTAGAAGATCGCAGCGAGCCCCGCTACAGAAGTCTTCCTCGGAGGGGCAGGCGTCAACGCATTTTGGACAATGCGCAGTTCGGAGAAAACCTCGAAAGTCTGACAAGTCTAGAAGCCGGCCGACGCATCATTGCACAACAGGAGCAGATTATCCGCCAACTTTACCCACATCTGGCTGGCACCCGCGATTCGGGCATCAGTCACGCAGCACCCGCGCCAGACTTAGAATTCGACGACTTCGACCCCGAAGACGTTCGTTTCCCGACGCGGCATGCGAGAGAATCTCTAGCACGCATATCTTCGCACGATTACGAGCAAGGCGATGACGAGCGTCCTGAGAGTGACTCCTCGTCAGATTCCAAATCGGCACCCGCGATCCGACCTTGCCCTGCGCAGACCCTGCGTTACCGCCGCCGTTGCGCTCCAGTGTTGCTTGCTTCTTCTCCACGTGTCAGCGACGTAGTCTTTGGAAAAGGCCAACGCTTCCGCATTAGCGTCAAGGCGCACATGCTCGTCGACTATACCCCGCACCCACCCCGTTACGACGTGCATGGTTTCGCGAGGTCCAAACGCTCTGCAAGGCTTACAACGATCCACAGCTCACCAACAGCCACCGCAGACAAAACTGAATCCGCTGCTGCCTCATCAGAGAGACCCAGCTCGCCTATTCGTGGTGTCAGTGATGATTCCATCACGTCAATCACTTTCGGCGAAGACCTAGGCCCTATGCGCTCCAAGTCAAACAGCGATGCTACAGGCCCATCAGGCCCACCATCGCCGTCTGGCATGTCGCAAACAAAGATGGATACCGCGCGTCAACTGAAGACGTTAGAAAAGCGACGAACGAGCGAGGACAGTCGCGAGACAGGCCTGAGCGCCGTCACAATTGGTGCCGGCTTGATGATCTGAGCATCCATCATACATTTCATCTACACATACTCTCTTATGTCTTGCTGCATCACTGGGCGTCAACCGAGCCTACACTCGGCTTAGAGGGACCACTACTTTTCTTTTTAGCGTTTGCACTGGTGTCATAAGCCGGAAGGAGGATATACCCATTTTACTTTGTACGGCATATAACGAGAGCGTTTGCGTTGGGCTAGCAGTCGTAGTCGACGGCAGCGGGTCGTCTGTATATAGGCCATGCTGACATTAATCAAATTCATCTATAGAAATGACCCGTGCATGTAATCTTTCCATAGCTCCACCTCTCAAGCAAAGTCGCGATCCTGACACGTCTAAAACTTGACATAGCCCTTGTCCTTGACAAACGTAGCTAACCACGGTACATCCCTTTCTTGCTGCACCAACTGCGCATAGAATGCGCCGTGCGCAGGGCCATCTACACCGTTTAGCATGGGTGCACCATCTGCAAATGTAAGTTATGAAGTCAGTGTATCTCTCATATGCAGTTTGTATAGTCATTTTCTTACCATGCTGTCGTTGGTCTGCATAGAAGAACCTATAACCCGATATTAGCAGAACATCCCATGTCCAACCCACACGTTGACAGCAAGAGAAGTGTTGCGTAGAGGGAAAAAACAACTCACCGATACCCCTTCTCCTTGTACAAAGCATCTGCCATGCCAACCCAATGCGCACTCGCGCTCTTTCCCACACCCAGTGTCAAGAACAGCGGGACAGGCGCAATGGTCTGATTCAGCGTATTGCCAGTGTAGATAAACGTCTTCTTATCCCCTACATGCTCCTCCCCCATGCTTTCCCAGCTCTTGACCGCTTCCTGCGCTGCCACATACGGACTCACGGTATTGACATTCAGGTCTTTGGCAAATTGTTCCTGGGATATGGATAGCACGCTCTCTTCCACAGGGGGAGGCGTCAGCGCGGCGGCGTTCCAGACCACAACGCTGGGCGATGTGCCGTACTCTTTTAGCACGAGCGAGAAGAGGTTGGGAATGGATGTTGGCGCCGTGAAATCGGCTTTCAGGGTGAGGATGCCCGTGTCGGGGTTGATGCTGTTCGTGCCGGATCGGGAGGCAGTTGCAACGCGGTAGTTCAGGATGGTGAATGAGGTGCTTATGGCTAAGCCTACATTGGGGCCTGCGCCGAGAATGAGGGCGACGGGTTTGGTGGACATGATATTGGATTGATCTTGCCCAGGTGCGTGAGGCGGTACGATGAGACAAGAGACGAATGGGGCCAAGATACAGAAGCGGTTGGTGGTCCTGTTGAAGATGCATGTGCCCTCTGTTGATACTTATATGCAGTGGGACGGACAACCAGGCAGCCTCCCATCCATCCGCCAGCTTCCAGAGTGCCGTTGCATTTATAATCTGTGCTGCATACCTGTATGTCAGCACAATCACCCCAGACTTTGCTTTCATACATTCTCGCTCTTTGCCAGTCGTTGAGTAGGTGAGAAGCCAAGAGGACGAATCCAGAAGGAGGACGTCGGGAACGTGCATGAGGAGTTACAAACAGGACGTAATCGGTGCCAAGCGAAGACTTACCAATCAACATGACTTGGCGAATCGGGATATTTGGCCGTTTGGTAGGTTGAAATGCAACGGAACTGTGCCGCGCAGGAAGCGAAATGGAAGAGAACTTGAACTGAGCGGCAATTCTCTGAATCCGCGGAATCGGCCATATCGTACAATACACCACTCATACCTATAGTCACCATTCATACGTCATCCAAGTCATAAGCATCGTGCTCAACCCTCTGCTTCCTCCCTTTCCTTCCCTTGCTACCCCGAATTTTCCGATCCGCAGTATACCGTCCATCGCGGTCACCAACCAACAACCTCCCTCCCTTGCCAAGCACCTTTGCGGGGCCTTCCTCGACGGTCCTTCCATCTTTCTCACCAACACCTATTTCGATAGTGACTTGCTTCGCCTTCTTGACTTTCCTGCCCTTTTTGTCGAATTCGTCGTTTGGCCGGCCTAGACGTACGTTGCGTGGTATCCGCGTCTTTGCGCCGAGGGCCCAGAGGTCGCCCCAGCGGACTTTTCGCGCGTCGCGGTAAGCTTGCTTGCTGAAGGAGCGTGGGACGGTCCAGCGCTCTAGCGTGCCAGCAGGTGTGCACACATCTAAGATGATATGGCCTCTGCGCTTAAGTGCGGGGAGCACAAGACGTGGGAAGGTGAGTGGGTTAACGTCGGTAGATGAGGACATGACGGGCTCTTCGGTTCCTGGGTCTGATGATGGGCGCCATTCGTGCCCTTCAAAAGCTGCGGCGGTTGATGCTTCACCTTGCACGAACCCTTTGCCGAGGATGTCATATTGTGGAAGGCGCTGGTCGCGTCCACGCTGGACGGCTAGGTAGCTGAACTGCACATCCTCATGGTTCTTGTCTTTTGCATTCAAGATACGTTGAAGGTATGGAGGGCGGATGTACCGCTGATTGAAGAAACAAAAGTCCTTCCTTCCTTGGCTCACACCTGTAGACTGATACATCGGGCACGTGCTGTGATTTGTGCATGGTGCAACGATCATTCCCGTCTCCTTCTCAGAGAATCTAGTCTCTTCGTCCGGTTTTGACACCTGAGATTCGAGTAGCGTCTCGATAGTTTCTGAGCCGGGAGAAGATATGTGTTTGTTTAGAAGGTACGAACGGGCAGCGGCTACAACTTCAAAGCCTCGTGGTAGGCCTTTCTCAATGAGGATGAGAACACCACCCTTGGGGTTCAGAAGAGACCAGTATTTTTCGACTTGCTCTCTGCGAAGATAGTCTTGTCGGATGGGCCAAAGTGTATGTGGCGCAATGATGACGTCATAGAACTTGCGCGGTTGCTGCGTGTTTCCATCGTCGGCCGCTGTCACAGTCTCTGGCAGTCGCGGGATAAATGTTGTGTTGTCCAGCAACTTGCTTGCACGGTGGCGCAGTGCATCAGATGCGGTCAAGACAGTCGCCTTTCCCAACGGGGTAGCACCAAGCGACGTGTTTCCCAAGTCCTCGTGCATACGTTGCCATTCGGCCTCTAGCATCTCGTGCCATGCGAGCACGCCGACACCACCAGAGCCAGCGTCTAGTATGGTGCCACCCTTTTTGTCCTGCAGCATGTGTTGCAGCCATCCTGACCCTAATCGGCGACGGACTTCAACCATGGCGCTCATGACACTTGCGTATGTGCCTGGCTGTACAGAAGCCATGTAAACATCAGCCTCGATGTTGCCCATATCTGACTGCGAAGGGTGGAGCGGAATTGGTTTCTGCTCGTGGCCCAAGCGTGCAGGGGTCGTGCTGGCGGAGTGAGGCAAACCACGACCGCCAAAGATACGGTTCGCAGACTCGGCGAGGTGTTTGTGGTTGGCGCGCGTCAGGAGCAGCGCGGTAGGGTCGACGAGCGAGTTCTTGGGCAGAAAGACGGTCGAAGGCGATGGCTTGAAGCGGCCCTCGATGGTCAATGGATGTGCGCGCATAAAGCCGTCTTCCTCTTGCACTTCATCTACGTCCTCCCAGGCCTCTGCGTCCTCTTGTTGCAGTCGACTCTGCTCGTAGATGTCGTCGTGGTATGCCTGCGCCTCTTCCTCCCTGCGCGCTTCCCATTCTTCGGGTGTCCTTGTCTCTTGGTCCGGCTCAGCAGCTGCCTCGTCTTCGGCATCGACCTCTTCCGCGACTTCAATCTCTTCGAGTTGGCCGTCCACCCCCTTCCTGAGCAAGACGATGGAACCATCAGGCCCCTCCTGCTCGACAATCTCGTCGTCAACTGCACCGTCATCGCGTGCCGCCACTTCGGCAGCATCTGCAAAGACGGCTGGGCCATACAGCCTCTTGTATATTGTGTACTCGTCGTCGGTCAAGTGGTCCCGCGGCAACGTATCGCCGAACTGCTGCCTTGCTCTCCGCGCGTTGACTTCATGGCTGACCGCGTCGGCTGCCGAGGGAGGCAAGCCTTCAGTATCCCGTGAGGCATGTTGCTGCAATTGTCGTCTTCCAAAGGCTGTAGAGAAGGCTCTTCGTGGCGTTGTAGGCTCCGGGGCGACCAAGCGTAGCGGCGGCGGCGCGTGCCGTGTCTGAGAGGGTAATCTTGCGCTACGCGCTCGTGAAATGGCAATGTTTAGTCGGCACGATGCACATACTGACGGTAAGCCTCTCGTCTTCAGCATCATCGAACGCCGACCTTGATCTTGTCGAGCAATGCATTCTGGCCGCTCGAGGCAAAGTTCGCCGCATCTTGAATCCAGGGTCCACGCGCTAAGCTCTGCCCAATCCAGATGCGTGCCGACATGTTTACTCAGCCTGCGCCCCGCTAGAGATGGCTCCCACCAACTATACAACATCGTTTAGTTGTTTCGAAACTATGAAAATGGGCCTGGGGTCTGGAGACTTTGACTATCCGTCGCTGAAGAAGCTACTCGACAACACGACTGCTGAAGTCCTACTTCCGGGCGACGGTGAAGAGTACGAAAAGAGCATCGAGAGGTGGAGTGAGCACTGCATAAAACGAGCTGTACGTTCCCTTAGTTCTGTCTTTCTATACAAATGTTTCTGCATCATGTTCACGCACTTATACGAGCAAAGGCTGCTGTAGTCCTAGTCCGGTCCGCCCATGACGTCTCCGCGGTTTTAGCTCAAATACGCGAGCACAGAATCCCCTTCACAGTCCGCGGTAAGCACATCAGAGTACAGCCAAATTACATGTGAGAGAAAGACTCACATTCTGTAGGGGGAGGCCACAGCACGTCTGGAGCTGCGTCTATCCGAGATGGCATCGTCATCGATCTTTCCAAGATGCGCGAGGTGATTGTCGATGTGGATGCCGAAACAATCAAGGCAGACGGTGGGACTATCTGGGAAGATGTCGACGTTGAGGCTGCCAAGTTTGGTCTTGCAACTGTAGGTGGCACCGTCAACCATACCGGCGTGGGGGGCTTGACTCTGGGAGGAGGCTATGGTTATCTTACAGGAAAGTATGGCTTAACGATTGGTATGTGCATGAACCAGTATCAATGAGTATTGACAAAGTCTGCGTTACTGACATCTTCCAGATAATCTCTTGTCCGTTGACATTGTCCTCGCTTCTGGTGAACAAGTTGTCGCGTCAGCCACCTCAAACCCCGACCTATACTGGGCTGTGCGAGGCGCAGGTCAGAACTTTGGAGTAGTGACGGCATTCACATTCCAGGGTTATCAACAGAGGAGCCATGTATTTGCGGGGCCGCTGGTTTTCCTTCCGGATAAGCTACCACAGGTCGTTCAGTTCGCAAATAAGTTTCATACTACCAACGACGGCAACCAAGCGATGCTCATGGGCTTCTCTGCCCCACCACCGGCGAATGCTTCGGTTGTAATTTGCCAGATCTTTCACAATGGTAACGAGGAAGAAGGAAACGCCTTCTTCGCCGACTTATTTGAACTCGGCCCAATAGCGAACATGACCGCCATGATTCCCTACCCTCAACTCAACAGCCTTCTTAATCAAGGAGCCGGCTTTGATGGACGTAAGCTTTTCGGTGGTGGCGCTTTCAGACTCCCCATGGACCCAAACTTCGCTATGCAGCTTCACGCTGAGTTCAATGCTTTTGTGGCGTCGCATGAGCGAATGAACGAAAGCATGATGCTTTTTGAAGCCGTTCCTTATGAGAAGGTCATGGAGATTGCCAACGACAAGACGGCTTTCTCAAATCGTGGCGATTACTATAATGTGGCTGTGATGATGAAATGGTAAGCCGAATCAGCATCACAGAGGAGTCAATATTAAAGAGAGCACAGGTTCGATCCTTCACTCGACGACGAAATTCGTACCTTCTCACGAAATCTTCTCAAGAAAGCCTCAGAAACCGCCTCGGAACGGTCAAAGGATGGTGGTGTAGGTCAGTACGGCAATTATGCAGCTGCCGATGTTGAGGCGAACGAGATCTTCGGCGCCAACGTGAAGCGACTCGAGGAACTTAAGCACAAGTACGACCCCGATAACCTGTTCAGTCATGGCACAAAATTGACTCCGCGTCCCTTGGTAGTGGTGAATTGAGTACTCTCACCATATGTGCATATATACGACACGACATGAAATATATTCAATCAGATGCGTACAAAATTCAGTCTCCGGTTTACTACTATCTATTTACCACGATGATGCTTTGTTTAGCAACAGCTCAATACATACTTTTGTGTACTCTTCTTCGTCTCGGCTCGAGGTCGGAGTTATCACATCGGATATATATCTACACTACACGACGCGACAGTAGCGCCGGAAATCAGCAACCCCTGACGTCACCCCATACCACCGGCCTCTACAATAGTACCAAGCTTCTACGCCACACCCAGATAACCCTGCACGACTAGCCGTATTAACTCCTTTTCAGTCTGCACCCGGGAAATAATGTCTACCGATGCACCGACAGTATCTGAATCAAAGGACCAACGTTGTGGGGCACGCGATCCACGGAGATTCGGTCTACACGTGCTTAAAACCGAGCGTGCAGGCTCTACCACAATGGCGAAGTTTGCCGCATGCAAGTTCTCTATCCATTCACTCTTCAAGCTTGAACGCCGGGATAGCGATACTGTTTCCATTACCACAACCTTCTCCATCGTTGAACAACACAGACGAGTTATATTTATATACATGGAAGTTCACGCCCTGGACTAGTAATCATAGCCTGCTACACGTGTTTGACAGCATACCCAATCTTTGTGCACGGCTCTTCCTGGTCTCACGTCACTATGGAAAGCACAAGACGACCACGAGCTCAAAGATCATCCACGTGCCGATCAGTATCCCGACAACGGCGACTCGACAACGCACCATTACACCGTATCTTGTCCAGTCAATTCCCAGACGATCATTCGGTTTATCACCATGAAGATGGCGAGGGAACCCATGTGGACGAGGACGCCAGTTCATTGCACAAGACTGAGACTGAAAGGCGAGACGAGAACTCGTCCAGTGACAACGACGGCGGTGGCGACAGCGGCGATGACAAAGGTGGGAAAGAAGTAAAAGATGATACCGCTCAAGAGGAAGATACGACTTACGAGGAGATACGGGGTGGTATTCCATACGAGCGTGATGTGGTGGCACTATCACGTTTAGAAAAGCAAAAGTCTACGCGGTCCGTCAAAGACCCAAATTTGGTATTTTCTACCTGACAGACATTGACTGCTACTGTAACATCTAACATACATAAGGTCACATGGGATTCAGAGTTCGACCCACATAATCCAAAGAACTGTAGGTTTGGTCTCGCCAACTAAGCACAGATAAGTTGTGGTCTAACAGCTGGTAGGGTCCATGAAGCGGAAATGGGCAGCAACTATCATTGTCTCTTCTTTTACCCTCGTCTCGCCAATATCCTCGTCCATGATCTCGCCAGCTCTGAGCAGCATCAGTGCTGAATTCGGCATCACAAATGAAGTCGAAGCCCAGCTTACCTTATCTATCTTCGTTCTGGCGTATGCAATTGGACCGCTGTTCCTAGGCCCACTATCGGAGATCTATGGACGAGTCATCGTCTTGCAGCTGTCAAACTTGTTCTACTTGGCTTGGAATTTGGGATGTGGATTTGCTCAGACATCTGGCCAGCTCATGGCATTCCGATTCTTCAGTGGTTTAGGCGGATCTGCACCATTAGCTATTGGTGGTGTATGTACTCTCTTTCTGAAAAATGCCGTTGGAAGATAAAACGCTAATTGACTTACTAGGGTGTTCTTAGCGATTGTTTCCTTCCCGAGCAGCGTGGCCGAGCCATAGCAATCTATTCACTGGCTCCATTACTGGGCCCGGCTATCGGGCCTATTGCCGGTGGTTTCATCTCTCAAAACACGACTTGGAGATGGTGTTTCTACGCCACCACGATCTTCACAGCAATGGTGCAATGTCTCGGGTTCTTCTTTCTGCAAGAAACATACGCACCAAAGCTCCTTGAGTGGAAGCGAAACAAACTGCGTAAAGAGACAAGCAACGAAGAACTACACACTGAGTTCGATAATCCTGATCGAACGCTTGCAACAACTATTAAAATCGCCATGAGAAGGCCGTTCAAGCTGCTCATCACCCAGCCCATTGTGCAAGTTCTAGCTTGCTACATGGCCTACCTGTATGGCCTCATGTATCTGATGCTCTCGACCTTCCCCAGCTTATGGGTCACGCGCTATGGCATGACTATAGGGATTGGTTCTTTGAACTTCATCTCCATGGGCATGGGCTTCTTCCTCGGCACACAGATCACCGCACCCCTCAATGACGCCCTCTACCGCCGCCTAAAGAAACGCAACAACGGCATCGGTAAACCAGAATTTCGCATTCCAATCATGATCCCTGCGTCTCTTCTCGTTCCAATCGGCCTTTTTTGGTATGGTTGGAGTGCCCAAGCGCAGGTACATTGGATCATGCCTAATATCGGTGCTGCGATATTTTGCGCGGGTGTTATTGTGGGGTTTCAGTGTATACAGACTTATCTTGTTGACAGCTATACACGGTACGCTGCGAGTGCTATCGCGGCGGCGACGGTGCTCAGGTCGTTGGCTGGGTTTGGATTTCCGTTGTTTGCACCGGCCATGTATGACAAGTTGGATTTTGGATGGGGAAATAGCGTGCTGGGCTTTATTGCCTTGGCTTTGGGTGTCCCAGCGCCGTTCATGCTATGGAAGTTTGGGGAGAAGTTAAGGAGTAGTAGCAAATTTGCCGCGGGCTGAAGGTGTCGCAGAAGCGTCAATACCCGCCTCGTAATGTGGAATGCAACACGCGGGGGCTTCATGTTGCGAAATCAGATTAGACGAGAGGGCTAATCGAAGTGGAATACTTGAAAGCATACTAGAATAGCCGCACGCTATCAGTCGTGACTTGAGTTCGTCATTCTAAACACGTTCTTCGTAAAACACAAGTCGTGAGCGACAAATTGTCTCTATCATTCCGCCCTTTGTCCACAGCCTAGCTATGTAGAGCTGTTTTTCCAGCTGGTACTAAAAGTATGTCCGACGCGATGGCCGATGACGCCAACTGCGTGTCCATCTCCGTCGTCAATTTCGTAATGCAGCGATACATTGAGCCAGCTTCGTCAGTTCCACCTCTCAGTCTTCCTAATCACACCCTGGAGTATAGCAATTAGAGCATCCGTAGATATATCCAAGATCGACATGTAAAGAAAGCATCGTGAGATGACGGCTGCAGCTTTATCGTCACCCTGAGCATCTTTGGGGCGTCGGCGACACACCAGCCGGGCAACACTCCAGCGAAGCAGCTCAATGCTATCTCAATCATCCCGCATACCAGAGCGCGCCTTCAATGACCAGCCCAAACTAAGACCAGGCCCCAGTCTTAGTCAAGATCGCATTCTCCTCTTGGTTGAGGTGTCTGACAAGCTACCTAGGGAGTGGGGGGTGTGCGATTGGGACCGTGCCCTAGCAACCCGCGAACTTCCCCGCATAAACACACTTTTGCTCGACCAGTACTTGCGCCGCAGAGGCCGTTACTCTAACAACCTTTCGCGTCGAGCCCTCAGATACTCTACATAATACCGAAATGTCCGACGAAGATCTCGAGCAGATAAGACGCGCGCGCCTGCAGCAGTTACAACAACAGGGCGGGGGAAGCGGAGGACAAGGAGGCGAAGGCGCCGAGCAAGATTCGCGAAAGTAAATACAATTATACACGAAGATCAAGGTTTCTTACTAAGGCAGAGTTACAGGCAGCAAGAGGGTACGTTTTCAGAATCTCTCCTGGCGCAGACATGCATCACTTGACCACACACTCCCCCTTCGCCCACTCGTCCAAACCCCGCCGTCCACTAGCAACCACGGGCTAACCCTTCCCATCAGCCGACCAGCGTTCCTCCATTCTCTCACAAATCCTTCTCCCCGAAGCAGCCGACCGTCTAGGGCGTATCCGCCTTGTCAAGGAATCGCGCGCAACCGACATCGAGAACAGGCTTATAATGCTTGCGCGGACTGGCCAATTACGACAGAAGGTTACAGAAGATCAGCTCAAAGAGATACTGGGGGCTGTAGCAGAGCAACAGGAGAAGGAAGAGCAGAAGATTGTTGTCAACAGGAGGGGAGGGAACTGGGACGATGATGATGAGCTCGAGGAACTCATGAAGGATGTATAGGGAAGCGAGGATAGGTAAACAAAGGGAGAGAGACACACACAGATGCTGGGTGTTGCATTAGGCGGTGCTTCTGGGACATGCAAGGCAGGTAGTCTTGCGCATGAAAGCTAAGGTACGACTTCTCATGGCAACTTCACGACGTGCATCAAGTCGTACATGATTTGTGACTATTGTCCATCTGCCGGTGGTTGTTCAATACTCGCTACTTAGTTCTCAATCATGACGAATGATAACATGTGGATTAGTGAAGAAGCAAGCACAAGAGAAGAACAACATCAGATGTGCCGTTCGATAAAACCGCAGCCGCAAATGGGAGCAGTACCACCATCCGCTTGGTGCAAACAGTGTGCGCAGTTGAAAAGAGGGTTCGGACGAAGTGAGGCTATAGATGCCGCGTGAAAGACTCAAACAGTGTTCTAATGCTAGGTAAGCGCGGGTTTCTACCAGTATACCATCTTCCGAGTGTTATCTGAGGTATAGATGAACAAGCCAACCTGTCGCAAAGGCCATGACAAGCATTTGCATGTAACCCCCAAATGAAAGTACCGGATTCGATCACAAGCGGGATCTTGGAGTTGTCGTAGGCATTGAAACCAACGATCTCACGTCGCTGCCATCCTGGCCATACCCTCCCTATCCTCCGCGCTCAAGGTATTTGTCTTGGCAGCTTCCTTCCATCTCTCAAGCTGCTCATACTGCTCATACTCCAGCTTGCCTTTCAATAACTTCAACAGCTTTGGTGTGAACTTTCCCGTTGCATATACGACACCATCGTACTGCTTTGCGAAGAGCAAGATCACTAGCGTTAAGAAGAGTACGGGGCCGTCGGAAGCTTTTTGTTTCTTGATTCGGCGAAGCATGTCGTCGAGCATCGATTGCTTGGCAGCAGCCAGCGAATCTGTAGATGGATGGTTGATACCTTGTTTTTTGTTGAATTTCTCCAAAGCTGAAGATAGTGATGTATTATCCAGAGGCGTCGTGGACTCCAGCACACTCGAGAGCTTGGTAACATTCTTTCTTGTTTTGCGGCTGAGGACTAGACCCTGCGCTCGTGCTTTGGCAATAGTATCGGGTATAAGGTCCTTGTGTGCGTAAGTTGCAAAGACCTGAGCAAGCTGGCTGTGCACCTTTTGGTCCATGACTGAAACTAAACCGGCGCTGTATATCCGATATCGGGTGAGCATGCGATCTGTCCAGTACATGGCAAAGTCCTCTTCATTCAGTGTTTCGAACGAGGACACGTGGAACCAGAAGCGCTCTTCTAATAACTTCTCAACTGGTTTTTGTTGGAGGAGAAGGCGCTGAACAAGGCCTGTGGGAGGAATCATGTCTTTGATCTTGTCTCGAGTGAATTTCACGTCTTCCACTAGGGTTGGATCGTCGTGTAGACTTTGCCATTGTGCCTTTGCAGCTTCTTTTGCGTAGCCAGCGAGCTCGTCGAGTGCTCCGTCTCGGCGCCTTTCAGTGAGTATCAGAGTGCCGACGCGCACTATCTTCAGCCCTCCAGTGGTCTCGGAGAAGTGAGCGACAATGGAGTTCTTGGCTCGGCCGGCCACCTGCTCCCTTATAGTTGGTGGAAGACGGGAGCCAATCACTTCGGTGACATCAAGGGTACAACCTTCTTGTTCAAGGATGCGTACGCAATCTTGCTCTAACCTGGAGATCCAGATCAGTGATACAGCGAAAGAGTCTATTACCTCAATGCCTGAGAGTTGCTGGAAGTAAGACAATGCGACTTGGGAAGACGGGAAAAGTTCGATGAAGTCGGAGGCGAATCTTTGCACATCGAGATAGGCAAGAGCGCCGGACTGCAGATCGTAGACTGTGGTATCGCGTTCGGATTCTAGATATCGCTTGGGTGTGCACAAAACGCTAACGTCAGTTTCCTGGATGTTGACCTTGGAAGTAAGATTTTCAGACTGCAAGAGTCGCTCGAGAGTATGCAGAATGAACCATGTAGGGGGATTGTCAGGCAAATCAGCTGGTTTGATATTGAGAGTCCTGTACAGAGTGAGCATGCGATGCATCTAAGGCAAGTCCTGCACTTACCGGACATCATCGACCGTCTTTTGAATCATACTCTTTACTATGTCCGCGATCTTGTGAGCATAGGCCTTAGTGTAGATGTAGCCGTTAGTTTCCAGGACGTTATAATCCTGACTGGACAGGAGGAAGTCAAGACTCTTGGAAGAGACACGGTGCTGGGCAATGAATTCGGCCTTGGATGCCAGTCCCCCAGATGACAGGCGAGTGACTATCGTGTCTCGCTCATCTATGGGAATAATGCTTTCCTCGTCCGCGCTGAACAAACATAGCTTGGGGTGGCTGTGGACTAGTTGATGGACAAGTAATCGACCTATGTCGAGGTCGTTGGCCAATGTGGAAACCGGTATCCGCTGTGTCTCTGGTGCATGCTTCAGCAAATGTAGCCAAGAGAGATTACGAACGCTCACCTTTGGTCACGCGGCTTCTGAAACGAGCCTGGACAAACTGGAGCGTAACGAAAGCATGGCCGCTGGAGGACAGCGCAAGCCGCGGAACAAAATCGGAAGTGTCTTGCGGAGGGAAGAGGGCGAAGATGTCCTTCACATCATGTGCGGTAAACATGCCAGCTGGACGTTGGGTAGCGCTGCAGACTAGATTGCCAACATGTACTGTTCAGGAACAGTGCTGTGAGCTCGAACGGTTCGGCGGCGTTGGAGTATATAGTGCAAGGGAAAGCGTCAGAGGCTGGATTGCGCTGATTGGTGGGGAGCGGGCATCGGGCGGCAGAACACCTGGTCGAGTGCGCGCAGACATCCAACCCATTCCGCCCACCGCCACCATGTCTCAATTCCGCGCGGCCAAGCTGGACATTGGATGTTTCGCAAAGATTCGCAATATCCGCGACCACACCAAGCGGAAGGTGTACTCGGAGAATGAGCCAGAACGGCACGCGCCTCTGCACCTAACGCTCCCATGGCGCAACGACTGACGACGACACAGACAAGCTCTGCGATACCTGATCCGCAATACCACGCTTCCGCAACGAGTCCGCGCGCAGGCTCAGCTCCAGCTCTCGCAGATGCACTGCTACACACGCTACACCCAGATCAAGAACAGGTGTATAATGGGCGGCAAGGGCCGTGGTGTCTTCAGCGACTTCAGAATGGGCCGAGTATGCCATGGCCTTCTCTTCGCGCGACGCAGGGCTGACGATGCTACAGTATCAATTTCGCGTAAACGCTCTCGCGGGGAACCTGCCGGGCGTGAAGAAGGCAAGTTGGTAGCTGTGCTTCTACGAGAACCCGACTGGTTCCATGTACAATCCCACCTACTTTTGGCTACACATGTAGCCTTGCACATGGCCGCTCTTCGGGCGCACACTGTGAGACATTGCGTGCGAAATCTTCGTGCTTGACCCATCTCACTGTCTACTTTGCCCTCCTCTCGCTCTCTCACCGTGCGAGACACCCTTTCCTAATCGGTTTGCTCTCACCACGCGCTACAAACGACGGCAGCGGCTACCCACCGCGCCAGTGATAAAAGCCGACTTCCGTAGCCATTACACCTACAATCCCTACTCCCGCAATAGCTCTGGCTGCCGTTTTCTAGCAACTCACTTCGCCACTGTCTACGGTCCATAGACGCCCTCAAGCATCTGCGTCAGCATGTTCCGCCGCATAGAAGACACTCTGGAGCCGGATCCATCATTTCCAGCCGACCTCAACCAACTTGGCTTCTTCATCAACCTCTCAGGTCATGTCCGTATGATCGACGCCCCCGAGAAGCCCTATGTCTACCACGCCACCAACAATGAGCGCGTCAACGAGGTGCGCCGCGAGGCCATGCAAAGTACATTCCAATTTCCATTGAAACACTCGCAGCTAACACATCACAGCCTGCCAGCGCAAGGAAGCAGAGAAGCGCCTGTCCTACCTCGGCCTCGAGTGCATCCACCTTCCCGACTTCGCCATGACCAAGCCCAATGGTCCACATGTACCTATCCTTGCTCCACCGCCTGACCTCCTCAAGACGCGAAAGCGATTGATTGTACTGGTAAACGACACCATGCAAGATCTAGGCATCCTGGCGTATAGACAGTTGCAGCGGGAACTCGGCATCAACGGTGGCTCAGTCGTCAACTTTGCCAAGGAGATGGTCAAGTGCTCGGACACTGACAACACCGCTGAAAGGGACGCGAAGATTTTCAAAGATGGTCATGTTCTCCAAGACAAGACTACCACTCCTGCTTTGATTGTCTTGAACGCGGGCCAGCTGCTGTACTCGCACAAGTACGACCAGGCCATGACTCTACGCAGTTGGTCCGCCATGCCACGCAAGTCAATCGCCCACGACATGGTCCGCATCCGTGACAACGAGAACCGTGTTCCAGGTCATGAAAATGCCAAGAAACATGTCAAGACTGTCTTTGACGAAGTCATCTGCAACCCCGATCGTGTTGCAGCTGACGCAGAAGTCTACGTCATCGCTATTGAAGACGGAACGGAGAGTATCTTGAACCTGCTCACGCACGACTGTACGTCTCCTGGCCCTGCTTTCACCTGAGGAGTTTACACTAACGTATTGTTATAGTCGGCAAGTATGGTACCCGTATCACGGCCATGGCGTTCATTCACTCCTTGATCGACGACTCCCAAATCAAAGATGAACAGATTCGCGCTTTCATGCATCAGCGCACACGTCAGTGGCGATTCAGCGATCTGACATGCAACCCCCAGCACTGTGTCGACTTACCGACTGACTACAATCGACAAGTCAACGGGCCTTGTTCTGCAGACACACCATCAACCATGCAATCAATCAAGCACATGTCTTGGCACGCTTCGATTCCTACAGGCCCAGTCTCGGCTCTAACGAAGGCTTTCCACAGCCTCGCTCTCAGCGTCACCTCTTCGGCCGGGGCTTCCACTCCAACCGCAACATCAACCTCTACTAGTGGAGAAGAAAGCACAGAATGGTCCTCGGGTCAAGCTGTCATCTGCCCTACCTTCGCGGGCGGCGACAATTCGGTTGGTGAATGCATCTTTACCTACCCTCCCACCCAGCATGCCATTCTCTCTTTCTTCCAAGACGTCGCGCAAGACCCGGTCCACTATCGCAACCCACCTGGCCTCCAAATCTTTACCGAAGCCCCCAAGCCCAGCCCCGAAAATCCTCTTGCACTATCTTCCGACCACGAGAATGACGCTGGGCTCTACTTGCAAAATCTCTTGCCGCAGACGACGTCTGAGCACGCTGAGCTAGATGAAGCTCGCGAGCGGCTCGCCGAGTTACAAGTTGCCTTGTCTGCCTGCCCTACTGATGCTGCAGAGCTAGACAAGGGTCGCGTCAAGTTGGAAGTTAAGGTGAAGAGCATGGAGGCGAAGATTGAGTCTTTAGAGATCAAGGCGCCGAGTCACGGCGGACTGGCCGCGGGTGAAGTGGTCGAGAAGCGCGAGGATTGGAAGCCGCAGGTTGAGGGTCCCCAGGTACCATTTGCAGGGACCATGGTGGATAGTGAACTGTTGAAGGCGGCGGGGCTGATGGAGTCTGTGGATGAAGAAAAGGCTTTTGTTTGAATGGCGAATGGCAGCTCTAATCGTGTAGCGAAGATGAGGGGATGATGGCAAGTCCCGGATGGAAAGGACACAAAAGCGTTTGTTTTTCAGCCATCCTACGCACCACGAACTCCTCCTCTTGTCACGTCAGCACGAGGAAGACGTCTTTTGGCTGCTCGGCGATGGAGTTAGGGTCATCTACCTTATTTGCATCATGTCCTTGAGAATAAGACCACAGCCTCAATCTCGCTTATCGTTGTCCTCAGGCCTAGGTTCAGTACTCAACTGATTCCCGTTATAGAACTGTTGAGGTACATCTCTTGCTCGCTGGTCCGCCAGCGTTCTTACCCTCATCCCACCCGAAGTTGCCTGATCCAGCACAGGATCGTGACTGGGATCCCGGGTAGGTCTGCTGCCCATGGTACGACCACCACCGCCATGGTTGTTACTGCTACTACCATCACCACCTTGCTCGTGTTGCGCCCCGTAGCCTATAACGGAGCTGATGGTACTCCCCACGTAGCCAACAGTAGAAGTGAGAAGCCCAAAGGCCCCGCCAACGATGCCCGTCGCGGCTCCTGCTATACCTCCTCCAGTGCCCCCGGAATACGCATCCGAGTAACCCTTTACTGGCACCAGTACCAACGTCGCACTGGGCGCTAGATCAATATCGCCCAACTCGACGGCCTCGTCGCCGGCAGAGAGCTCACGACTGGGCGATGGAGCGAGTATATGTCGGAAAAAGTAAGGAGGCAGTTGTTTGTTGTTGATGTTCTCGTCATCCTGGGTCAATTTCCCAAACTCAGTGTCAACCCAGGACCGCACGTCAGTCTGCAGGGTGGCGGAGCGAGGGAATGTAGAGCGAATGGTGCGGCCATCGAACAAACGAACATTGAGAGCGACGGTTTTGGAGTTGGTGCCTCGCGAGGACGTTGGCACTGGCTGTGATGTGTCGGGGGCTCGTAGTGCGCCCTTGTTCCTCTCCTTTTCGCGTTTTGCTTTGCGCAATTCGGCATCTACTTTGCGCGCTGCTTTGTCGGCTTCTATTCGTGCTTTTATACGGGCTAACTCTTCGGCATCTTCTCGTTTCTTCTTTCGCAGGGCGTCGCGGGCTTCTTGTTGGGCTTTGGTGGCGGATGTGGATGGGAGAGTGGGGTGCTGGGAGCCTGTGGCTTTTTGCTTGCCTGGTGTGTTGGACGTGAGGGTGGGTAGTGAGGTTTCGGGGAGGCCATACAGGTCGTCTTCGGCTGCAGCATTCGCTATACTATTCGTAGGTTCTGGTGTGCTTGCGTGTGGGGGAGAGGTTGGTGCTGCGTTGGAGGCTGGGATGGGATTCGCTCCCAGGACGCGTCGGATTGAGTTGATAAAGTCATCTCTCGTGGCATCGTTCTTGAGTTGAACTTGGAGTTGGCCGTTCTGGATGACGACGAAAGTGGGCACGCTCGAGACATCGGAGAAGGCAGCCAGAAAACCGGCTTCGGTCGAGCCGGCTTCGAGTCGCAGGACGACCGCTTTTTGGTGGAGCAGAGTCGACAGCTAGACATGCATCATCAGCGCGTGTTGTGAAAACCTGGCCGAGTCCCAACGTACCCATCCGCTCTTCAGCCACTCGCCTTCCCACTCGTGGCTCGTGGCGCCGTCGTCTACGCAGCTAGTCAGCCACGATGCTACCCAGATTCCGATAGTGCACCGTCACGTACCTCGAACGAAGCAGGCAACGAGTTTCTGCTCCTGAATGGCAAGCGCGATTCCGCTCTGTAGGCTGCCTTGGTGGAACATGTTGGTGGGTGGTGGTGGTGGCTCCATGTCTGCACTACCGCGGGGATTAGCCTGGGAACCTGCTCGGCGCGTGGTACCGAGGGCAGACGACGCACGAGCATGGCCGGCGGCCGTCAGCGCCCGCTTCACTCAGTGGCTTATTCACACGGCGTTGGAGATGTGCAAAGGGAAAAGATGCAATAAACAGTTCTATCGGTAATGCCAAGCCCATGAAACCTCCACGCCGAAGAAGGGTAATGCTGCAATAAGCCAATGCTAGACTCGCTCTATATCCAAACATCAAGCCAGAAGGTGCTGCACAGCATGTGCCCCTTCTGCTTGGTCCCGCCGTTCCGCTTGGGCTTCCCAATGATGCCGACCGTGTACAGTGTCGGGAGTGAGTGGCATATCCAAGTTGTTGGTCTTTTCCCAGTCAGGCCAAAGCCGTGGCCCCTGGGCCCTGGTATCGGCTTATAGGATGGTGCACTTCTTCTTGTTCTTGGTCGCCGACTGCTGGGGACGGGGGCTGAGGACGGCGCTGGGGCAGGTTAGGACAGTCATGCAGGGAGCACATGGGGACGTACCGAATAGCTTCGTCAAAGACACTCTTCAGGTTGCGCTGTGTGAGGGCGGAGCACTCGAGGTACTTCTGCGCCTTGATCTCCTTTGCGACCATGACGGCCTGCTCGTACTGGATGGGCGCCATCTTCTTCTGCCTCAACGACTCCTTGGTCGCCTCATCGTCCCTCAGATCGAGCTTGGTGCCGACGAGGATAATGGGAACGCCGGGCGCGTGGTGATCTATCTCAGGGTACCACTGGCAGGGGGTTAGCGGGTGCGCACGCGGCGTGGCGGGCGGCTTGGTACCTTTGCCTTGACGTTGTCAAACGACGGGGGGCTGACGATGGAGAAGCAGATGAGGAACACGTCCGTCTGGGGGTACGAGAGCGGGCGCAGTCGGTCGTAGTCCT